TCGAATCCACAGCTCTATGCCTGGATTTGAGTGATTAATCTAGTAGGTATTGGGAGTAGTTCTAGAAGGCCATTTCTGATGTCCAAATTCAGCTAGTCCGAACCTTCTACTTGTGAGATTTAAATAGTGAAAAGTACCTACTGAAAAGCAAATTGAACACTAATTGAAAAATTAACAAGGCCAGAATTAATAATTGTCTTCAAACATTGTGGATTTCGATCTCTATAACTTAACTGCTTCCCTTATTTGTTTAACAATCACGTTTACGATTGTTTAACTTTGATACTCGCATGTACGTACCTACAGACGACACGACACTGCGGCAGCCTAATATGTAGTGGTAATCTACACTAATATTATAAAGAAAAAATTGTAGGTATTGTTTGTTTGTATTGAATAGGGTCCGAAACTTTAGGGCCGATTCGAAAAATTCTGTCACCAATCGAATCCTATATATATTCTGGTGAACATGGCGGTACGAAGTTCGCCCGGTCAGCTCTACTAACTAGCTGTAATATATTACAAAAAAAATGTCTGATGTGTAATGTTTACAACCTTCTCCAACACCAGCATTGTACAAAAATCGACAGTAATGAATCGTTCACTTGTAACCACGAAGTATCGTGTGAACCAGCCCGTCTTCCAAATTCGGCGCGGGCGCACGAGATGCGTTGCGTAATGCACGCTAATTGCAGCTTTCACTGCGAATATTACGACAGCCGCCATTTTTTCCGAGGACGCGGTAAGACACTCGCAATGATACACATCGGATGATGCTGTAACTAAATGCTGGAGGCTATTGTTTTGCGGTAATTGACATCTAAATGTTGCCAGTATGCGGTTTTAATGCCTCTTTACGGATCACGGCACATCAAGCTCAACCCTGGGGCATCTTATGTACAAGTTTATCGCACACTACTATCCGTTCGCTTTAAGTTTGATGCTGGCGATATGACGTCACTCGAAGAGAAGCGTCTATAACTTTAAAACAAACTATATTTAAAATATTTTTTATTATTATTGATAAAAATTGTGTATTTGCGTAAAATAAGACACATTAATTGCGTTTAATCACTAACTAATTGCGTTTAATCGCGGTGAGGGGACGGGACGCGCATTCCACGGACCGGCAAACTTAGCGCGAACGGGTAGTATCAAGAATATTGACTAAAAATGTTTGTTTTAGTTTCGTAATATAATAACGTTTTCTAAATACTGTAAAGAGAACGATATCCAGACATTTTCACTTTCAATGCGACACACACTGGAAAATGCCAATGCACTTTGAACACCCACGTCCTGCCACTGCCAGATTTATTGCAAGCTTATGTCACTGCGCTCATACAGAAAATACTTTCGCCTTTATAAACTGAAAAAACACTCTCAATTGCCTTTTGTGAATGTGTGCAATAATGTACTTAATTTATTTGTAAAGTAAATAAAGGTAGAGTGGGTGCACCAGTCCCACACCAGGAACCAGTAGTACACCATTTCTAGTTTCATATTAAAATATTAACAATCTGTCGAATTTCCCGCCACTTTTATTACGTTTGGTAGCACTGCCGTACTTCTACCATAAATAAAAGCGACAAACACGACTTGGTACGATCTGGTCAACCTTAGGCACATTGCGACTTTCCACATTGATTGTTAAATAAAAATAAACCTTACAGCTATTAAGAAAATTGGAATAAGCTACTTGATTCTATGATAGACAAGGAGTAGTTAATTCTTTTTTTTTGCAATGATTGTTGTAATAATTGAGTCACAATATCAAAATTACTTTTAAAATGTCGCTTATTCGGTTTGTTACAGGTACACCCACCCTACCTAGTCTTTTTCTAGAAGTTTTTACACATAATGTACTCGTTTATCGATGAGTTCTATGTTGAGGCCTAGGCAAATAGCAAGAGGTTTACCAATGGTTATCTTTGGATACCTACTGCTTTACATGAAACAGTACCGCCTAGGCGGAAGCGCTTATTTAGCTTCTAGAAGCTTTTACTCGTATCTTGACTTATGGGAGTGTCGTGTCAAAGTATTTAACTTGTACTCAATGCTGCACATCATCTCGTCAAGTTTTTTTCCATCGCTCCACCTTCTCTAATTTTCCCATGTTGTCTAGTTTCCATAGGTAGCTTTACCTAATTTGGGACGAAACGCAATACTCAAAGTCCAAGAATACACATGTCATTTATTTATTGTTCGTTGGTCATCACTAGACATCGGATTATATGCACTATCAAAATGCCAAAATATGCATGCAAATATGCACTAAAAAAGGGCGAAATATGCACAAAATATGCACAATCAAAAAAGCATTATTAGAATTAACTTTATTTTCACAATACATATATTAATTCTTGTGACAATATAAATATATAGTAAAAAATATTAATAGTGACAATTTAAAAATTATGTCATAAACTGCATTTAAACATGAATTTGATTTATTGTTTGTTAAAAAAAATGAATTTTAGCGAATGTTTTTATACGACCGGTCACTTTTCGGTCTTCATGAAATGGTCATTCATTTTCGCTCCGCAACCCCCCCGTATGAAGGTTACTTTTTGGGTACTTCTCATTTACACTCAAATTTGATGGTCACACAATAATAGTTCATAAACGGTATAAGTTAGAACAATAACTTTGAAATCAGGTGATAACATATCTATTTAGCTACATAAAAAATAAATTTTATCGTAATAGAAGCAAAAATAATACGATAACATCACATGAAACGATACAAAACGGGGTCATTTTTCGCGTTCTCATCGTGTCACACCTTCGGTTGCAATGAAACATTTGGTTACTGCATTCACAATTTTCATTCAATTTGTGTGTAGCATATACTAAAATCATCGTAATTAATATACTTTCCACACAATAGTCAAAAAAATATCTTCTTATAATTATTTCGAATTGAGGAAGGAAAATGCGTTGGTCACACGATTTTAGGTACCTAAAATTTTGAGTAATCATACAAGATTGCCGTTAAACCGAACACCATCAACCAATCACTGTGTTCTATTCGGTTAACGTCAGTCGCGCTCCTGCCATTGCGGAGGTGAGATAAGTCGATCATCGCTCCGCGAAAAAAATACGTAACTTTTTGTGATTATCCATAGACATTCCGTCGCTTGCTTGATCAATATTTTCTACCTCTAAAATTTAAACAATTTAATTGAAACTTAGGCCATTGAAAACTTAACATGTTAGACTTATTTGTGTAGTATTCGACTTGAACCGTTAAACTCAAATTTAGGGATAATGAATAAAAAACTAAAATTTTCGTCACCTTCGTGGCATCACCTTCGTGGTGTTTTATACACGAAGGTGATTTTAGGCCACGAAAGTGATTTCTTGCTTTGGTTTATTTTAAAATATAATGACTGGTGTTTAAGTTTTTACAATATTTTAATAACGAATAAATTATACGTGTTCATCGATAAAAAAATAAGGGCCTCGTATTTTTTTTGTCTGTATGACTGTATGTATGTCTGTATATGTGACTGTGTATCTGTTTGTAAGATAAATTTAATCTGAAGTTTGAGTTAAAAGTTGTACAACAAAAATACGAGGCCATCTGGCCTCAATAAATAAACATATTTTTTGTTGAGGGACTGATAAGTTAAGAGTTCTTTTTTATTGAGGTACTGATAATTCTTTTTTTTTTGCTTCTTAAGAATTTCAGAATGCCACCAGTATCACCTTTAAAACCAATTGCGTAGAATCTTGTAACTTAGTAGGTGACGTTATCGGTAAAATTTTATGTTGTATTTAAGTACCTACCTATTTATATTATGTTATTGCCATTTATCTATGAAAATAAGACAAAATATATGTTTTATAAATACTTAAGAGTCATTTACAGTAGTAAAGTTTGAAAAAAATATTGTTGTGAAGTACAGAATCACTTTCGTGGCATCAAAAAATTCAAAACGTTAAAGCTTCAAAACCAGACTCACTATTTGACTGATTTACTGAGAATACACTCTTCACATCAAGCGCTACAATTTTTGTATACAAAAAGTTGAAATAAGTTAAAAATAAAATTTGCCACGAAGGTGACGATGAGAACCGTGGCGATGAGAAATACCCTTTTATTCAAAAAGGTTACATTTTTTTATATTTCTGGTAATTTCTGACAAGACCCGACTGGCAACACTGGTACGGATCGCTCTCAATGCGCTCTCGCAGTGCGTGCGAGGGCGATGTGTTGATGTTTGGTGTGGGGACGGCGGCGAAGTACAACACGTCTAACACGTATAAATACTAAAATAAGCACTGTCAATGAAAAAGTACCAAAATATGCAATAACGCTATAAAAATAGCATTATATGCGTTTGCATATGCAATAATGCAAATGCATATAATCCGATGTCTAGTCATCAGTGTACTGAACGGTTTATGTCACAGTCATCAAGCGCCCGCGTTGACGAAAGAGTCAAGACATCGCGTGAGAAACGCTTGCTCTCACGGGTGCACAATGTTCGCTCATTTTTGCATTCTAATGCTTAAACAATAAAATAAAGAAAATACTTCAGTTCCTCCGACGAAATGTTGCAAAAGATAAGATAAAGTCGTTGCAGAAATTTAGCTATGCATTAAGTACCTACATTAAAACAATTTGCACGGCTGAATTATGATGCAAGAATATTTTTTTTAATGTCCATTAGATAAAATGGATGTCTAATACATAATTATCTGGAACAAATAAAAGAGGATGTTTCAATTGGTCAAACAAATATTGAAGAGAACCTTTTTAACATAAAAGCAGCATCGTGTCAAGTACAGCATCGTGACTTATACAAAATTAGATCAATTTAAAGATAGGCAAAGTCACAGTATCTGACAAGGTCGCAATTTGCATGCATCATAATATAAAAAAATCTTATAGCTCTACAAAGAACAATACAGTTCTAGGAACCCACATAATAAGGATCTGCATTAAAAATAAGTCACAATTATTTAATTAACCTAAAATCTGTTTGTTCCAGGTTTTTCCAGTTTCACCACATCATGTCTTCAGAAAGACATTGGGCGAGTGTTATTGGTAAGTTTCATACACATCGATAAAATTTAATAAGAGACAATTAATCTTAATAAGTTATTGGATTTTTATTTTGCATGGCACTCTCCCAGCATGGACTAGTGGCGATCTTTAATTACGTAGATACATAATTACATGACTTATGCTCGTTTTCACCAATCAATCCCTAATTTTTAAGTAACTCTTAAGGTAACACATAACTAGAATTTTGTTTGATAGGGGTCACTTAAAAATTAAGGATTGATGGTGACAACGGGCATTAATACAGTACACAGACAACACATAAGCCTACTACAAAATATCGAATTTGCATTTGAAATTTCAAATTCAAGATGTAAGATCAAAGTGAATCGACTTTGGATAAATTACCTTGTTTGCACTTTCACTCCCGAAATTGCTTTAACGAATAATTTCTCCTCAGATGTCAACTTTAAGACTCCAAGTTACACCTTCGAAGCAATCAGAAGTTCCAAATCAATCTAAAGTTAATAAAAGCCATGAAGTCTCCAAAGTGAGCAGCCAGATATAATGAGTCGTGTCAATAGCAACTTTGATTGGAAAAGTTGCGGTGACGTCATGTGCCATCGTTTAATTATTGCCGCTTTTCGCTGATTAGAATCCTTAGTGATGTGACATTACGGGAATGTCGAATTTAATCGATAAAAAATTTAGTTGTGTTTTAATTGCGCCAATAATTTATTGTTGTTTTCATTGCGATTTAAGCCAACTTCCTGCACTCGACACTAATTGGATTAGACTCTATTATGGCACGTTACAATTATGAATAGGTACTTATTATAAATAATTGTTAAAATTAAGGAATAATTCCGACAAGTTATGCCGAAACAGTAAATTCATAAATCTAACAATTCGCTAACTGAAAAACGTAACATATCTGCTTTATTTATCTATTGCACTTTCACAACTCAGCACTATTTTATAATTAAAAACCAGTCCTAACTACTTCCTTTATACATCAACACATCAGCACTTCAATTACGTTAATCATTCTTCAACCATATTCAGTTCATTCAATAACATCTAAATACCACAATCTTCCCACGAGTTTGCAATACCTCTAACAAAGACAGTTATTACTCGGCAATAAAAGCGCTGCAAGTTGAATAATGGTCGCATATAAAACCACTATAACACCAATAAAGCTGTTTAGATTATTTGCTGCCGTTTGCTAAAAGTTTTCATAACAATACGTCCCATCCCATTATTACTCTAGTTTTGTCGATAACTCGATAAAAATATCAAGGTTTTATAAGTTGGCGTTAATGTTGAAGGTAACTGCAATACCTACCAAATGTTATTGCCATTTTAAAGAGGTAAGAAGAATATATTTATTTATTTATTTAAAATCTTTATTGCACACATAAAAATACAGTGGTACAACAGGCGAGCTTAATGCCATGTGGCATTCTCTTCCAGTTAACCAGAAAATTAAACAAAACAGAGAATTTAAGTAGGCGGTGCAAAATATACAAATACAAAAAAATTCAATCTAATATAATACATAAAATATTATAATATAGGTAAATTAATACAAAATATATATATATACCTACATAAAGACATGCATATACATAATATACGGTGGATAACGAGAAGGTTTAAGAGAGATCAAGATGATATACAATGCTTTTTATGGGCAAATTGAAGTAAGATGAACGAATGCAAAAAAATGAAATGAAAATGCTTCAAATAACGGACTATCTGCGTAATATCAAAGAATTTTCTAAAGCAATTTAGATTATCGATACCCAAATAATTAACAGCTTCACATCCCTCACCGGCTATAAATATTGATACAGCAGTATTCATAACTCCAATGTGTGCCATAAAATTTCCATCATACAAATGAGATTAGACTTAATCACTGATTTGTTGATATGATATGCCACTGAAAATCGTTGAATGGGCATCTATAAAACTAATAGCTATTGGCTATTAAGTTTTTTTTCCGTAGTTTTTAACATTTTAAATTGCACAGAGCATTTTTACTCCTCCCAATATTTTTAATATGTCAGACCTATAACGTGCATGTGAAATGAAAATGGTTTTATGGCAGTCAAAAATATTTTACTGAAAATTACGAATAAGAAAAGCTGAAATTCGCTTACATACGAGTACGAGTCAGTAATGTATTTCTTTCTACAATAAGGTATTTTATGTACTAACACGTACCATCGGCAACAGTGTTAAAGTAACTATATACATTGCCTGTCATGTCGTCTCGTTCTATCGCGAAGAATCGCCATTTGATGAGAGCGAGAGCAAAAACGGAAATGAAAAGTTAACAGTGTGGCCGTGTGTATACTCTGGAACTATTTGTATTGGCAAAGATTACATTTTTTTCTTGGAAATTTCAATCTAGAACCCATTCAGGGATTGGATACCCGTGGATATTTGCCAATCCAATATGTACTTAAATGGATTATGTACGTACACATTGAAAAGAAATCGGGAAACGGTAAATAAAGTAGGTAACTGCCTGCTTTTTAACATTTAGAAAATGTGTAGTTAGAATTCTTGCTTACGCAAGTGAAAAATTTTCGTGGAAAAATCCAGACGAATTTATTTAATTTTGGGTTTAATCAACTTTTATCCTAGTGACAGAATACTACTTAAATATGTAGGTATGTACTTATCTTTTTCAAAGATGTCACATTACCTTAATGTTATTTTGTGACTAAACTTAAATTAATCAAAGAATACTTACGCCCTTTGAAATACACCCTGTATATCAATATGGAGGAGATGACTAAGCATTTCATGATTTCTTTAAAACGAGACTATTAATGTTCTGTCTATTATTTATTCCATAAAAGCTCTTTGAAAACGGGCGGCAAATGAATTTGTGAACTCACCTGGAAATGTTCACCAAGGAAAGTTATAGAAGGAAAACGGTATGTTTAATTTTGATTAAACTTACAATGGTGAGCGAATAAATAAATTGAGAAATATAAAAAGTATAATATTGTACTAGCGGCCGCCCTTGACTTCGTACGCGTCGACCCTGTTTTCACCCCTTAGAGTTTCGTGAAATCCGCTAAGAACGCTTAGCGGATGCTTGACACCCTATAAAAACGTTTGTAGATGATACGTGGGACACTATTTAAGTTGTGAGCCTAACTATGAAAACAAAGTAGTATATTATTAAAATGGTATTGATTGCGTTTATTGGTATTGTCTTTCATGATTTATGTACTTTTTAATGTGTCCGAAACACTTTTCATAGCATTTTTTCCACTCAGCTTGAGGCACCTCCAAAGCATGGTTTTTGACCGCACCGACAGTTGCTTCTGGCTACATAAATCGCTGTTCACGCATTTAATTTTAATATAATGGGGACCAAAAGAAGTGTTTAGATTCCAAGCAAGAATTTTGTAGCGTTGGATCTGTTTATTTCATATTTTGAGTGTTCAAATAGTCAGTTGTTTGACGAGACGTGTAAAAGCTCACATTTTCGTCACGAATGACGATTCGACTATGCTGGCCAGTTTCCCTTATTAAACTGAAGACTTTTGAAAAAAATGTGGCTGTTTACTATTAAGAATTAACCATTCTAAATTTATCTAGTGACGTTTCTGTCATATAATCAGATATTTCGGAAAAATATGCGACCGTAAGTTTCAAAGTGTTCCGAGCGCATGGGACTTTTGTTGGAATTGGTTCATCTTAAAACACCTCCATATTCGATAGCTGTTTATTTTCAGGATCATTATGCATAGATCCTTAATTCGTCAACTGTCACAATTTTAAAAACGGCTTTTAAAGCTTTTTGAACGTATTTATCAAACCTTTCCAAGGACTAAACGACACAAGTGTCCTATTGAGCGTTTGAAAAATTGTGTGACATCCAGCGAGAAAAAAACGTATTAACCATAATATGGTCAAACAATATTTTGTTACTGCTAGTGGAATTAATGCCTATGATTATCTCAATCCTACGATATATCACATGACGAGGTTTCTCTTCCAGTTTTCTGACAACATCAATGTTTTCCGCCACTATTAGTAATTTTGGACGACTTTCGCAAAGTTCACTGGTGAGCCAATGACATACAATATTATACTTCTTAAACTAGCGTTTTACAATGGTAAAGGACAGATCTTTATCACCAAAAGTGAAATTTAGCTGACCGCTTCAGTTTTGTATTGATTAACCACGTCGAAAGTCATAATAAATCTTCGCGCGAAAATTTCCGCAAGTCAATTTCAGGTTTTTGTAGTCAAGATAATTTTCAATTCAATGTTAATAATACAAAACGTGCTCAAATGATAAAAAGTTTTGAATAAGGTTGTAGACAAAAATGTCAAACTTTTCATTAAAAGTATTAGATGTCGTCTAACAACACGTTATGTTGTCGAGGCTCACAACTTAAATAGTGCCCTAGTAATAGTTTCTGAGATTTCGTGATGAGTGAGTCAGTCACTGAACTTTGTGTAATCTTACATAGATAAGTCATCGAGCTTTATTATTATAGATTTATATTCCTCATTCTCAATTTCATTACTGTACTTATCTCTCGACCCGTAGGACCTTACTTATTTTTTGTAGTTATGTAAAATAAACATACTTCTAACAAACTTGGGTCAGATATTAATTTCCAGCGGGCATTTTCTTCTGAACTAATCAAGTTAATGCTCGGAAAAACGTTGCTTCCTCGTCGACAACAAAGTGCGGTCATCATTATAATACATTTGCGTTGATTATGAAGCTCTAAAAGATAACCGGCAATTTGTTAGTCACAAATGAACGCGGTTTTAAGTTTAAACAATATGGTTTAACGATGCCGATTAAAATTTACTAATAAGCTTCTGTTCCTTTATATTAAATAGCTCTACTTATTAATCAAATAAAACAGGTATTTAATAAAACATGTGAGAATGGTGGTTATACGCGCAAGCTCAAATGTTTTTTTTCTGCTTTGACCAAAAGTTAGCTGGCAGTGAATGCCTTATAGCATTAAGTTCGCCTTGTAAACTCATTA